TTTATACACACTGAACATTTTTCAAAGTTCATCAAATTTGACAATAGTTCATCAATTTTGAAAAATGTTCATCAATTTTGAAAGAAAGTTCATCAATATGAAATAAAGTTACAAAATTGAAAAAAAAATCTCGCGCTTAGCAGAAAAGAAGAAAGAAAGAAAAAGAAAAAAATCAGAAAAAAAACTCTTTCCACGAAAACAGGAAATAGAAAAAGGTTAAAAGCCTGTCAGTTAACACGAATTGGTAGGTTAGCCGAGTGGTTTGGCAAGGGCGCCTGTAGTCGTGAGATCCCTGGTTCGAAACATGGTTCTCGCCATAAAGTTTTTTGCGTTTTCAAAATCAGAAAAAAGAAGTGGGCCGGCCCAGTGCGGCGCGAGGGTGTGAGCCCGATTGCATTTATGCCTAAAACGGGCGCTTAAGGCGCCGTTTAGGATTTGCCCCCTATACGCCGCTCGTTGCGGCAAGGAGTCGAGCAAACGCACAGAAGGAGTCTGACCTGGGCCGGCCCAGTTGGTGCAGTGTATCGCGTAATTGAAAAAATACAAAATGGGAAAAACGCGCGCCCTTACTGGGAATCGAACCCTGGATCTCATATTGGGGCGCAACAATAGCCAACAGACTAATCAATCATTGGTGACATATACGCAGCGCAACATATTAAGAACAATGTACTGGTACGGACATGCTGTTTTTAATACGAACATGAAATATTAATTTGAAATCCATGAAATATTTATTTGAAATCGTGAATATATTTTCAAACCTATAACATTTTTTAAAATTACTGGACATTTTCTGAAATTGTAAACAAGTACATTTTAAAATTCCAGAACATTTTCTGAAACACGAAACATTTTTTCAAATTTTGAACACGAGAACATTTGTTAATATTGAGAACAAATGTTTGAAAATTTCAAATAAAAGAAACATGAAAATAACAACAAAAAAGTAAAGGAAAATAAAAACCAAAAAGAAACAGAGAACATATTTTGAAAACTCGATTTTTTTTCAAAATTACGAACAAACTTTCAAAACAAGAAATTTTATAAAATTCCCTGAACATTTTTCTAATTGACAAACATTTTTTGAATCTTGAGAACAAACTTGAAACGGATAACAAATTTGGAAGCACAGACAATTTTTTAAAGTGCAAACATTTTTTCGAATCTTTAGAACAAATTTTGAAATGGAGAACAAATTTGGAAGCACGAACATATTTTGAATCTTGAGAACAAATTTTGAAACAAAGAACAAATTTGAACAATTTCTTACAGCATGAACATTTTTTTGAATCTTGAAAACATATATATGAATGAAAAGAACATTTTCTAAACAAAAATTTAAAATCCCGAACATTTTTTGAATTTAGAGAACAAACTTTTTAAATTGAGAACAAAATTTGAACATAAATATTTTCTAAAAGTACGAACATTTTTTGAATCTTGAGAACAAATTTTGAAACGAAGAACAAATTTGGACAATTTCTTAAAGCATGGACATTTTTTGAATCTTGAGAACAAATTTATGAATGAAAAGAACATTTTTTGAACAAACTTGTTCACGAACATTTTTGAAAAAGCGCGAACATTTTTCTGAAAGAGAAAACATAAACTTGAAAGACAAAAAAGAAAAAAAGAAAAGTAAAAGAAACAGAAATTGAAAAAGAAAGGAAAATAAAAAACCATTTCAGGAACCTTCTAGAAGGTTCCCAAAACAGGAAAAAACCCAGCTGGGAACCCCTAGAAGGTTCCCAAAACCGGGAGCGCTGGACGGTTAAACGGTCCGGCCCGTTGCGTCGCTGCTCGGTCGCTCGCCTGTGCGAAGCGCCGGCAGTTTGACGCAACAAGCGGCATATAGGATTTTTCCCTAACCGGCGCTCTCAGCGCCGGTTGCTCGTACTGGCGCCCGAAGGGCGATGCAACTGGGCTGGCCCAGCAAAATTTCAACGATACAGGCTGTTTCAGGGGGTAGCTCCAAAAAGCAAAAGATAACAAAAATTTGTTCACCTCAATAATCGAACTCCCGTCGTGACAACAGCGAACAAAACTGATTACCATTTTACCAACGACGTGCTACTGACAAGTTCCAGAGCGAATTATTTAAGTACCTTTTCTAGCCGCGCAATTTATTACACATGTAAACATTACTGCAGCGCACTTTCCTATTACGAGAAAAATGTCTATCGATTTTGAAAAAAAATCATCCGTTTGAAAAATAGTTCACAAATCTTGAGAGAAAAGTTCACATACTTGAAAAAGGTTCATCAATTTAAAAAAAGTTTAGCGATTAAGAAAACAGTTCATCAACTTTGAAAATAGTTCACGAATTTGAAAAAAAAGTTCATCAACTTTAAAAAAAATATCATGATTTTAGAAAAACAGTTCATCGGTTTTCAAAAATATATTCCAAAAGAGTGAAAAAAAAGTTCATTGAATTTGAAATAAAGTTCATCAAATTCGAAAAAAGTTCATCAAATATGAAAAAAGTTCATCGATTTTGAAAAATGTTCATCGGATTTGAAGAAAAGTTCATCAAAATTAAAAAATGTTCATCAAATTTGGAAAAAGTTCATCAAATTTTTAAAAAAGTTCACTAAATTTGAAAACAGTTCATCGATTTGAAGAAGAATTTCACAAATTTGGTAAAAGTTCGTTGAACCTAGGAAGAAGAAAAAAGAAAACAGAAAAACGAATATAGAAGAAAAAAGAAGGAAGAAAGAAGAAAATAGATAAATAATGAACTCTGCACGTCAGTTCTGGGTGGCGGGGTGGTTAGTATAATGTTCAACGAAGCTGGAGGTCGGTTGTTCGAATCCCAGTGTGCACCCTTTTCTTTAGTTTTCGTTTTTGAAAACTAGAATAAGCTAAATGGGCCGGCCCATACAGAAAATAAGAGATCGGTGGTGTGTGCGCCCCGTACGAAATGAACTATATTCGGCAAGCGCCGAATAGGATTTGGCCTCCTATAGGGCGCCCTAGAGGCCGGTTGAGTTTATTAGCGCCCATGCCACCCGCTCGTGGGCCGCCCAAGAAGAAGGCAAGCGCACCCTTTTCTTTAGTTTTCGTTTTTGAAAACTAGAATAAGCTAAAAGGGTCGGCCCATACAGAAAATAAGAGATCGGGGGTGTGTGCGCCCCGTACGAAATGAACTATATTCGGCGCTTAAGGCGCCGAATAGGATTTGGCCTCCTATGGGGCACCCTAGAGGCCGGTTGAGTTTATTAGCGCCCATGCCACCCGCTCGTGGGCCGCCCAAGAAGAAGGCAAGCGCTCGACTCGTTTCATGGTCGCCCAACCGCGTTGATCGTTGTTCATCAGTTGATTCGTCAACTGTTCGACTTTCAGAAAAAATATAGAAAAAGGTAAAAAAATCATGAATTCAAAATGTTCATGGATTTAGAAAAAATCATAAACTTCAAAAAAGTTTAAGAATTTTTTAAAAAATCATCAATTATTAAAAAGTTTATCGATTTTGAAAAAGTTATTGAATCTAAAAAAGTTCATTGAATTTGAAAAATAATAATCAAATCTGGAAGAATTTCATCTATTTCTAAACAAATCATCAGAAAACCCAGGCGGAAAACAGAAAAAAAAACGAACAGAAAAGACAATGGGCAAGCCCGCTGCAAGACCTATAACAGGCGCAACGGTCGCCATATATGATTTTTCTTTGGCATTTCCTATTCAGTGATTCAGGCACTGGTAACAGTGCAAACTATAAACCGACACACACTACCTCCTCCGCGCTGCGCCGACCCATCTTCATTTTTCTCTATTTTAACGGGGGAAAAACTATGCGTGTATTGTGATTCGAACAGGCAATCTCCTGGTTCATGTACGCTGCACTAACCATCCCAACCACCTCACCTAATGAGACTAGTTACATCTTTTTCCTTCTTTTCTTCTTTCTTCTTTTATTTTTTATTGTTTCCTTTTTTCCTTTTTGGGAACGGTGTTGTTCATTTTTGTCATTTTTAATTTTTTTAATTTTTAATTTTCTTTTGTTTTATCCTTTTTCTAAATGCTCAAACTTTATTCAAATCTGTGAACTCTTATTCAAAGTAAATGATTTTTTCAATTTTATAAACTTTTTAAAAATCCATGATTTAAAAAAATCATGATTCTGGAAATCAATTATTGTTTTTCAAAACCAGGAATTTTTTTCAAATTCGATGAGCCTTTTCCACGTGATTTTTTTTGTTTGTGTAATATTTTTTTCAATATCATGAACTTTTTTAAACCCACGAACATTTGAAGGAATCCATGAACTTTTCTTTATTTCAAGAACATATTCAAAATCGTAAAAAACCAGAGGCTGGTCTTTTTCCTGAACCAGCAGCGCAACACAGCCGGGAAAAACAAAATGCGAGTTGATCTAGTGAACAATTTTTTTTTTTAGTGAGCGAACTGACAAATTGAAGAGGAGAGAAAGAAGGCTCGATCACTAGTCTCCAGGGAAACTGTGTGCCTTGACAGCCAACGGACCCAGCTACTATTCGTGGATGTTTGTAGGAGCGAGTCCTGAAGGTCCCGTTCACTGTGATGGGTTCATCCAAAATGAACTTCCGTTCCTTTTATTTCTGCTAGAGTTTTCATTTTTACAACTTTGAAAGATCTGAAACATGATTAATTTTATGAAAATAAACACTAAGTTAATCACTTAGTTTACGGCAAACTGAATGTGATCTCGTAGGCACACTTCTAATAGAAGCCACGAGGCACAAGAGCAGCTTGCAAAATCCGCAGCTAAAGTGCCACTGCCAACTGACAAAACATCATAATTTATGCATTTTTTTGAGAAAAACAATCCATTCATTAAATACAAAACAATATATGACACTATGTACTTCGACCTATTGATCGATCATCATATCACATCACTACTCCAGTGATTCCTACTATAAACTTCACATCCGTACTGATTTTGCTTCATATTTCTACTGACTGATCACCCGTTATATAATGGTCGGCCTACCAGCAGCTTGAAGAGTATGATCGATCTACTCCTCCTCATCGTCGATCTCCACCTGCACCTTCTTCTTCCTCCCCTCGCCAGCGATTTCTGGCTTCGTGCGGTATTCCTCCTCGTAGCGCTTGGCGAGGCGGCGGAGATTCGGGACCTTGTAGTTCTGAGCCGCGTACACGCCGATGGCCGTGCCGAGGAGGAACGGGAACAGCCGAAAGCAAACCATGGCAGCTAGAGTAGAGTAACCTACTTCGAAATGTACAACTGTTCTTTTGATCAGTTGGTTGTGGTCTAAGCTATGGTTTCGAGTGAGCTTGAGATAGAACATATGGTGGCTTGCACCTTTATTTATATGTGTGAAATGATTTGGCTTGGTCAAATTCAGTTGGAGTGTTTCTTGCACAAGGGTCCAAGAAAGGAATAATCTGAAGGCATGTGGCATATGTTAGTACGACTATATTATCTGGATTCTGGAGTAGTGGCTAGCTAGGAATATTGCAATTTCTCTTCTCAGCTTGGAGGGCAGACAGGATTAGCAAGCAAGTTGTGGTTACTTGACATGGTTTGCAATCAACTTCCTCCCCAAGGCGAAGGGTCAAAGTTGGTGCGCGCACATCAGCATATTATCTAGCCTTTCTTTTAGAGAGACACCTGCAACTTCATTCATACACATAACAATTACACATACACTGATTTAGACTTAAGATCCCAAAAAATAGAAAGTAACTCGTATGACTAAGAATTACAATAAAATCTCTTGTAAACATCTTCTTCGCGGTATCAATCTCTGCTCGAAGGAATACTCCAAAAGCTTCGAAAAGAAACCGCAATTGAACTCGAGTAACGAGGTTGAATTTTTTTCACCCAAGTGAACAATACCAATAATTGTTTTTAAAAACGTCTCGAGTGGCCCATCTAAGAAGATAGGAAGCCTTGATCGATGAACATACTTGGGTCGGGAATGATTCCCTAGAAGTGCATGTCGTCGAATCACTATATCTTCATCATGGTGTTGATGAAAGATTTGACCTCCACAAAGAATCAAAATAACAAAAAAAGCTTGACACAACAATATAAACTCATCAGATCCAAAAAATTGGATCTGGGAGGACAGAAAACTCTCTAACCTCATGGCATAGCCAAAAGAACGAGAGAAATTTTTTTTCACAAAATTATGATGATCACTAGACGTTAACGAAGAACATAGAGGTCTTGAAGATCCGAGGACCGCCCCCCCCCCATCTTTCAGCGCCAAGATGGTAGCCGAAGGCGAGGGGATCTAAATTTCCCAGATCGTCTTTTCTTTGCGTGTTTGTGTGTGGTTGGGGTGGTAAGAAGGGTGGGCTGTGGGCTGGAACATAAATGCCTACTCAGAGTTTAAGGAATGCTCGGCAGCTCAGCTCGTTAAACTTGTAGCTCACTTCTTAACAAACAGAGTCAAGTATGGATTTCAACTTATTAAACTTAACAAGCTTAATGAGCGAGCTAACGAGTTTCACGAGCAACTCGTTAAGCTTGTCAATACAATACGATGTACCCTCTCCTTCTGGAATTAGTTGTCGCTCAAATGGATGTATCTAGCACTGAATAGATACATTTGAGCGACAACTAATCCTACCAGAGTTTTTTGCTCGTTAAGCTTAACGAGCCGAGTAACTCGTTAATCCACCCCTAGGTGGATTAACGACATAGATACATTTGAGCAACAACTAATCATATCAGAGTTTTTTGCTCGTTAATCTTAACGAGCCGAGTAACTCATTAATCCACCCATAGGTGGGGCGGCAAGGCCGAGTAGGGCAACCCAACTGTAAACCAGCTGCAAAAACTGAGCTTGAAAAAAATCCATGTTTGTGCCTCTGTTTCCCTTATTAGACAACTAGATGATACCCACGCATTGCTGCGGGAATTGGTCTCAATATATTTCGAAGAGATTTGATTATGTGGAATATAAAAATTTATCTCTAAAATATTATTAAATATTATTTATATCTCCTCATGCATGGTTGCATGTGGGGTGGGTCTTTTCCCTTGCATGGTTGCATGTTGAGTGGGTCTTATCACATCCGTAATTATATGCTGATGTGACATGCTTTCAAGTTGAGATAAACAAGTTAGTGAGATCTATATATAGGATTTAAGGTGCACGCCAATTCATCGAAAACAAGTAAGCACAGACGCATAAGTAATGACATCAAGATTTGTTAACGAGGTTACCAACATGGCTACATGCTGGGGCATGACAACGGGCGCTCCTCGTCATGCACTAATGAAAAGTTTGTCAAGTCTGTTAGAGATATATTATGTATTTAGAGATTGTCTGGGATTAGATATGATTTTTTTCCTGAAGGAAATATGCCCTAGAGGCAACAATAAATTTGTTATTTTATATTTCCTTATATCATGATAAATGTTTGTTATTCATGTTAGAATTGTATTAACCGGAAACTTGACACATGTATGGATACATAGACAAAACACCGTGTCCCTAGTATGCCTCTACTAGACTAGCTCGTTGATCAAAGATGGTTAAGTTTCCTAGCCATAGACATGAGTTGTCATTTGATAAACGAGATCACATCATTAGTGGAATGATGTGATGGACAAGACCCATCCGTTAGCTTAGCATAATGATTGTTAAGTTTTTTTGCTACTGCTTTCTTCATGACTTATACATGTTCCTCTGACTATGAGATTGTGCAACTCCCGAATACCGGAGGAACACCTTGTGTGCTATCAAACGTCACAACGTAATTGGGTGATTATAAAGATGCTCTACAGGTGTCTCCGAAGGTTTTTGTTGGGTTGTCATAGATCGAGAATAGGATTTGTCACTCCGTGTATAGGAGAGGTATCTCTGGGCCCTCTCGGTAATTCTCATCACTATAAGACTTGCGAGCAATGCGACTAATGAGTTAGTTGCGGGATGAAGCATTACGGAACGAGTAAAGAGACTTGCTGGTAACGAGATTGAACCAGGTATGATGATACCGACAATCGAATCTCGGGCAAGTAACTGTGACAGCCTGGATTTTGCCTTCTCTCTTTTTACCGGACTTGCCTTCTCTCTCTTTCCCGACTTGGTTTTCATCGTGGTTTTTGCCTTGATTTGATTTGGTTTTTGGATCAATTCAAGTGGACTTGTCACTTGGGCATATCCTTGGCTTTCACCCAAGTAACCCATCCACCTTACTCCTCCCACAAATCCCCAAAATAATAAAATGAATATTTTTCCTAAAAGGAAAATATTCATTTTTCTCTCTTAAGTCCATTTCAGAACCTTGTGCTCCAAAGCAACCTCAATTTTTCTTGCTCGGAAAAATCTGAGATAATTCCTAAATATTCTTAGGATCATGGCACATCTCCTCATGCAAAAATATTGCATCACTTCTTGTAATATTTTTGCTGTAGAAAATCTTTTCACTTCTGGACCAGAAATGCACTTTGTACAGCAAGTGCATTTTCCCCTAAGCTTTTAGCCTTGAGCTTTCTTGAGCTTAAACACCCTCCTACGAAACCCTAAACCCCAGGAAATTAGCCCTAATGGCCTTCTAGAAGGTGGCCAAACTTGGCGACCAAGTTTCTGCCCGGAAACTTGCCAGCTTGGTAAAGTCGCGTTTGGTCGGCCTGGGTATGATCCATCACCTCTCCTAGACTAAACACTGCATGGTCGATAGCGTGGACAAGGTTTGGCAGCTCCTGGGCGTCGTTTTGACCATGCCAGCATGGTGACCGCGCGTGGACACGGTGCCTGGCATGCGTCTCGACGCGCTCTGGCTGGCGCTTTGCATTCTGTTTCGCGCGTGTGCATGCCAACGCTCGCCTCCGACTGCTGCAACGTGCCACAACCCTCGACCCATCACCCTTGACCCCTCCTTGGCGCTTGCCGATGCCAGAGTTGCCGCAGCAAGCCAGTCCAGTCGCGGCCAAAATGGCACAGTGCGCGCGTGTGCTTGTCCCCATCTCCAATCGCCTTCTGTGCTTGTCCGCGAGCGTGGGCAAGCGCTGGCGTTGATGCTGCGCCCTGTCCCCTCGCGTTGGAGCCTCTCGTCGACTTTCACCGCGTGTCCAGAGCGTTCCAGCGGCGACACGTTCCCCCCTCCCCTCTTGCTCCGGCTATATAAGCCACCCCCGACTCGAATCCTGGCCACGCAAGACTCCACACAACCACCACGAACACGTAGAACGACCGTAGTTTGGTCGGGCAGGCCTCTGGCCGTCGCCCCAACCCGAGGACTCCGGCGATCCCCGCGGTCCAGCCATCGCTCTCAAGGGCCTCTCGAGCTCAAGCAGCTGCTTGGGCAGGGCCTTGGTATTCTTCTGGAGCTGCCTGGACCCCGCCAAGCCCTCGGAGTTGCCTCTCGCCGCCATCTTCTTCTTCTCCGGTGAACCCCGCCCGCCACTGAAGCTTGCGAGCTCGACTGCGACCAGCTCCGTCCACCTCTCGCCAAGCCACGGGTACAGGCAGATGCGCCGCGAGCCCTGCTTCCAATCTATCCCTCTAGCCTAGCCCCAAACCCCCTCGTCGCCGGCGTGAGCCCCGACGAAGCGCCGCCCCTCCTCTGATCTCGATCCCCTCTCTCTTTCCTGACTGGTGGGGCCCAGTGTTAGCCTCACCACTCGTGCCCGAAGCAGTACAAGTGTCAGCCTCAACGTCACCCCCCCAGGATTTTCTGTTAATTCAAATTTATTCAGAAATTTGACCAAACTTTGACCAGCCATAACTTTTAAAGCACAAGTCCAAATGAATTGATTCTTTTGCATTGTCTTTGTTACAGAAAGCCCTAGTAGCACACCAAAAGGTGAATTTTTCCTTGTTGTCTAGAATTTCTGGTGATTTTCAGAAGGTGTTTTGACATTTATTTTTGTGGCTTTTAAATATTTTCAGAAGGAGGATCTTGCCTTGAAGCTAACCAAGAGGAGTGTGACCCTCCTCTGCACTAAGGCAAGCCACAGCATCACTTGGATGGTGTTATTTCAATATCTATGATTTTCTACTTGAATATGAGTCTTTATTTGCATTTAAAATTTGATAAATAACTTTGGTTAATTGCTAGTTACTTTACCATGCTTGCTATGCTTGTTTTAGCTTCTGGTTGAATGCATGAACTTGTTTGGCTTAGTAGAGTAATATTTTGCACTATGAAAATTGCTATGGAAAGTAATGATAGTTATTTTGCTAGTAATGGTTTTATTTAAATAATGAACTAATAAAAATATTACTTG